TCTTCCAATTTGTTTGTGATGTATTACATTTATTGATTTGTGAATATTGTACCAGCCTTACATCCCTAGAATAAATCCCATTTGGTCATGGTGTATGATCTTTTTAATATATTGCTGGATGCGATTTGCTAATATTTTGTTGAGGATTTCAGCATCTATGTTCATCAGAGATATTGGCCTGTGATTCTCTTTCTTTGTAGTGTCTTTATCTGGTTTTGGAGTTAGGATAATGCTGGCCTCATAAAAAGAACTTGGAGGTGTGCCTTCCTCTTGTTTTTTTTTGGAATAGTTTGAGGAGTGTAGGTTTTAGTTTTTCTTTGAATATTTGATAAAACTCCCCTGTGAAGCCATCCGGACCTGGACTTTTGTTTGGTGGGAGTTTTTTGATTACTGCATCTATTTTATTAGTTGTTATTGGCCTATTCACGTTTTCTGATTCTTCCTGATTCCTTCCAATGTGTTTTTTATTTGTGCTATGTTATTCTTTATTTCTGATTTCATATTTAATATATCGTTTCTCATGCTGTTGAGCATCTTTACCATCAACATTCTGTACTCTATGTCAGATAAATTGTTTGTCTCCATTTCATTTATCTCCTCTTCTGGAGAATTCTCTTGTTCTTTCATTTGGGGATTGTTTCTTTGTCCCCTCATTTTGGCTGCCTGTTTGGGTTTGTGACTGTGTATTAGGTAGATCTGCTATGCTTCTCAGTCGCTAATGGAGGACATTGTCAAATGCTGTTTTTGACTATTTAGGCAAAGACTCAAAGCCTCAGGAGTTCTCCTCTGCCACAGACTGAGAGGATTCCATCTTGAATAGCCCCTAAGCAATCATCCACAGGTGTGGCAAGATTTTTTCAACAAAGTGGAGCACTTGCTTCTGTCTGGAGGCTAATTGTTATTCTTAGTCTTTTAATGGGCCTCAGAAACTCTGTACTGTGGGACTAGGTGTTTTTCAATAGGGTGGGTCAACTGTCTTCCCCCAGGCAAAGCCACCTGTATAGCAAATGTCTATGTGAGTAAGATGACCTCTGTAACGTGAGTGACTGACTCAGCACAGGAAACTGGGGTGTCTGCCTTCTGAGTTCTAACCCCAGAGCTACCGATCCTGGGTTCTGCTCACACAGCTCCAGTCCACTCTGCCCTCCCTCTGCTGGAGCACAAGGTGGGTGACTCCACAGGGAATTTTGTGCATTGGTGCTTTAAGAGGGTGCCTGTATTTCCAGCTGTCTTTCCCTGGCAGACAGCGACCCCTCTGCTTTTCACAGCCAGATGTTATGTGGGTACCCTTCTTAGTTCTGGTGCTCTGCTGGGGGAACCCAGCTTGGGGTTTAGACCCCAAAGTCCTCAGTGGGAACCCCCTACAGCTGAGATATCTCTCCAGAACTTCAGAGAGTCTTTGGGAGCCCAGCCAACCCTTCGCCCCTCAGCCCCTCCCACTAGTCTCTATACAGTTTCTACTTTCCATCCTAAGTTATCAGGTTTCTTTCCAGTGAGTCTTTATTTGATTATTCAGGAAGTTTTCCTTTATTTTAGTTATAATTCCTGTTTGGTCCTGGGAGCATGTCTGTGCAGCATCCCCTTACTCTGCCATCATTTATTATTATTTTTTTGAGGGGAGAGTGGCCCTAGATAGCTTCAGGATGAGGGCTAGTCACCAGAAAGACCAATCACATTATTAGAGGGTTGGAACTTTGGGCCAGCCCAACCTTCCGGAAAAGGAGGAAGGCTGGAGAGCTCAATCACAGGATCCTTTGACTTAATCAATCATGCCTGTGTAACTGTCTGGACACCCAGGCCCAGGGCACTTCCTGATTGGTGAACATTTCAATATATCAGTGGCACACCCTGACTCCACAGGGACAGATGCCCTTGCACTCAGGACCCTTCCAGACCTTGCTCTATATATCTCTTCATCTGACCATTCATTTGTATCCATCCTAACTAATAAAAGAGAAACATGGTAATTAGACTGACCGTCCTTCTGGATGTCCTTCTGGATGACCTTCTAGATGAAGCCAGGTCTGCGAGGGAAGCCCGGTTCCCAGGTGCCAGAGGGAAGCTGGTGCCGGCAGCCAGGGGAAGGAAGTCCTACTCTTGCACGAATTTCCTGCATCGGGCCTCTAGTAAATAAATAAAAAGGTTTCTAT